AAGGCATATTGCGTTCAATGGGATTTCCTCCCGGATAACTGTGCGTAGGACTGCCGCCTACATAGAACACGGTTATGTCTCCAAAATGCAGTTAACTTGGACAGGAAGATGAGAAGCTAAGCCAGCCCCGAGAGATGGGGCGGAGGGAGCGGTTTCTCCTCCGGAGTCCTTGCCACGGAGCAAGGCGGGGACCGGGTGGGATTTCCTCGGCTCGTGGCATGCGCGCTGCTATCCGTGGCCTTGCCAGCGACTACGGAGGGCGAAGCCGATTCTGAACCCCAAATTTCCGTGACAGGCTGAGCAACGCGGGCCTCCAAACGGCGAGGAGCGCCCTTGTGCTTCGGGCGCGGAAAGGATTTAATTGAGGGAACGATCTTAGGCATATTTCGTCAGAAAAAAAGATCTCCGGCTCCTAGCATTTGACTTAAAACATCAGGGGCTCCTGATCGGAGCTCCTAGCTTTTATTTTTTGAGCTGACTTGAAACCCTCAACTGCTCCTGACTTATCCGAAAGCCACCTTCCTTGCCATATCTTGCACCTGATTTATGTATGCAGCAACAGTAATCGCAACTGATAGATGACATTTTGTAAGGGTCTCCTAGTTTAAAAATAAATGGGATGAGAAGGAGAGAGAGAGCGAGAGAAAGAAATGTATAGCTTGCTTACCTTTTCTCTTTCTCATCCTATTTCTTTTAAATCTAGGATTAGGGCTGGGGTTAAGTGCTAAGAGTGTTACCATTTAAATGGCTTGTGTGAAATACTTTGGGCTTGTCTGCAAGGCAAGACAGAATGCTAAAAGGGGACTGAATTTGTTAAGCTTTCTTGTATGTCTTTTGTTTCTTCATTCACATTCAGTCACCTAACCCACCAGGGCCTTTCTTTTTAACATTCTGAGAGTTCCCAGAGCTAAAGTTTCATCTAAGGCAGGCAATTTTTATTTGCAGTTTTATGTGCTTGTGTATATATTCAGCAATGGGGAGTCTGCGGTCCTTGGAGGTCTATATCTCATAGGTCTACCAATAGTTCCCAGGGTACTTCCGATCCACAGTGTTCTAGAAAGGATGCAAAGGCCATGGTTTCTACTGGCAATGGTTAAGCAGACAACTTTTAAAGTAATCACCCCAGTGCACTGTTCCTGTGTGTATGTGCATGTGTTCAACGGGAGAAAATGTTTCTAGACGGCTGGGTGTTGCTTATTGCCCAAATGTATGGCCAGTGCTACTAGCTTTGATGGTGCTCTAAGTAACAATCTGGATGCACAGAAATCCAGTGTTCAGGTCTTTGCTGTATGTACACAGGCTGCTGACAAGCATTATTATCCACGGTCAAAGTTTTGCATGTGTATATAAATTTGCCAGTCTGATGTTAGCACTCCATGCATCTGATGAAGTAGTCAGCATGCACAAAAGCTGATGCCAGAAAAAATGTGTTTGTCTAGTTGTTGCAAGTTTCTTGCACTGCAACTCTTTGAATTGTTGTGCATCATTTCAGAATGATACTGAATAATGATGACTGATGACAGATTCAAAAACAAAGCGATATTAGTCAGGGTAGGGGAGGGGTAATATTTAGTGGTTCCAACTTTTGCCTATTAATAAATGAAAGAACGATCCAATGTATGCTAAGACAGGGGGGAAAGGCCTACAATTCCCAGCATGCCACAGGATTGTGCCCTTAACTGATTAGAGATGTTGCTAAGCGTGATCATAAAGTGAAAAATTGAAATAGAAGCAGCTTGATTTTATATAAATGTTAATATAAGCAAACCTCAGTACAGACATTTTTTTTTTTTTTGAGGGCAACTATAGTCCAGGAGTAGAGTGCCCATTTTGCATACATAAGGACATAGACTGTCCCTAGAAAGACTCCTGCCTCAAACTCTGGAGATCATTGCCAATCAATGAGTAAGATAATACTTAATGAAATGGATCATAGTTTGACTTGGTGTAAGACATTATGAGACAATGTGTGTAACAAGACCGCAATAGTTTTCTTTTAAATGAAACACAAGCCTAAGAACGTACACTTTTGTGCAGTGGGGTAGCCGTGATCTTCCCCTTACCAAGCATTTTCTTGTCACAACCTCCTCCAACTACCTTTTCTAGCAGAGAAATTTGTAGGGGGAAGCAGGGTTGTTTTTGGAGGGGGTATTTAAGTGGAAACTAGATAGCTGGGTTAAATGCCTCTTCCCTCCTCAGTCTGGATGCCGGTCCTCCACCCAAAGTAAACATCTCCCCAAGATACTTTTAAAGAGAATTAATGTGTTCTTCCATCACTTTGTGATGTGGTTGACCCCTCCAAAAGGGCAGAAGGAATAATGATGGATATGAAGGAGGAGCCTTCCCTAGCCTCACGTCCTGCAGGTGTGTTGGACAACAGCCCCCACCATCCCCTACCATCCCAACCTGGCTTAGCCACATTGTCTGATGGCAGAAACTGTAGCCCGACACATCGGAAGGGTGCTAAGTTGGGGAAGGCTGCATCATGCATTGAGATATCACCACATGCAACACTTCCTGCTCCCCCAAAGGGCAACCATTTCCATGCTAATGGGACACAGAAATGCAGCATGCCATCACATGTCAACAAAGAGTAAAACATGTCTATTTGCTCTTCTCTCATTGCTGCTTTAATGACATCTTCTATTTTTCATTATTCTTACTGAATTTTTCTATGATTTAATCTGGAAGTCTGCTGGGGGACCTTTTTGAACCAAAAGTGGGGTAGAAAGTCTCATGTTATACCTGTTGGGATAGACAATACATGCAGGAAGGGATTGGATGCCTCCCTAGCTTTTTTCAGCAGTAACTGCACCTGTGTTCAGCATCACACTTGGAGTGTTTGAGACTGAAATTTCCTAAAGTCCTCGTGCAGCTATTCCATATTTTCCCTCCTTCCTCCTCCTCCCACCCCTCCCCTCCTCCTGACACATCCCAACTGGGGGAGCAGCAGCATTTCTGCTTCCTTGGCCCTGTGCCCAGGATATTTTGTTCTTATGAATTTCTTCCCTGTATACAGATAAATCCTGCACTGGAACAATCTTTCATATTCACTGATGTACATGCTCTTTTAAATTATCTTCCCATACATGCTCTTTAAATTGCTTTTAAATTAATGGTCAATATAAATGTACCTCCCATGTGTTTTTTGACAACTAAGGGCACAATCC